CCCAGAAGCCCCAGGCTGGCAGACGGAAAGTGTCCGTACTGGGTGGATGCAGGACCCACCCGGCATGCCTAGAGGGACTTTCAGGGCCGCTGCCTGCCCCGCTGACTGCATGCGGGGGCTCAGTGTGCAGGCTCCCCCCAGCTCCCCCAGAGCCTGGCCAGGATGTTAGGGGTCCAGGTGGACTTGGGAGGAGGGCTCAGGGCAGCACCCGCTCCTAGGGCACGTGTGCCAGGCAGCGTGAGAGGGCAGAGCGGCCACACCCACAACAGGACCCCAGAGATAACCAGGTGGGGAGAACGCAGAGAAGGGCCCGGAGGCACGAGGCCTTGGGAGGGCTGATCTGCAACGCTGAGTCGTCCCCTGCACCTGACCTCAACATGTCCCCAAGCAGTGCCCCCAATGAGATTCAGCCACACCTGGAACACAGGTCCACACGGAAGCTTGTTCACGGGTGTTCACAGCAGCACAATTCACAATCACCAAAATCCACAGTGTGGGAACCACCCAGGTGCCCATCAGCAAGGAGCAATAAATGGAAAACATCCCCCACCCACGGGCGCATCCCTGGGCCCCCGAGCAGGAGCGAGGTGCCCACACGCCGCCCCAGGGATGGACCCCGAGCTCCCGATGCTCAGGGAGGGCTCCAGACACAGGAGGCCCCGCAGGTGGGAGTCCGCGTGTGTGACATGTGCAGGACGGGCTCGGGGGGCCGGGGGCTGGGGTGACAGCTGGTGGATCTGGGGTTTCCTTTTGGAGTGATGGAATATTCTGGAATTACTGGAATATTCTGGAAGAGGTAATACTCGCATGACCTGCAAATTTACTAAAAACCACTGAGTTGATGTGCAATTCACATCTTAAGAGTGAAGAAGGAAAGGAACGCCATGCACCCACAGCAACGCACAGCCCTCCCGGGGTAGGAGGCCCCCACGGGGCCCCTCGACTATTCGGGTCACTGACGAGAGCCGCAGGTGCCAAGTCAGGAGAGGCCCTTCCTCGGGAAGGCAGGTGGCATGAAGGCTGAGGGGGGTCTCCATGGGCTCAGCCTGGACCACCCCTACGGCTACGAGGGGGGACAGGGACGGACACTCCCGAGGCCGACACAGACACAGGGAATAGGACGGCACCCGACAGTGGCCCAGGCCGTCAGCAACACGTGACTAGGGACAGGGAAGGGACAGCTCTCCCTGAGGAAGCCCTCCCGGGGACCAACACACAGGAGCAAGGACAGAGCCCGGTGACTGTCACCGTAGGGCACACCCACCAGTGCAGGGTGAAATCCATCACCACCACCACCACCACCACGAGGGCCGGGGGAAGGGGGCAAGGAGCGGAGGGGGTGGGGGCTCGGGGTCAGCACCGTCTGCAGGGAGACGCATCGGCGGGGGTGCGGGTGGGACGGGCTGCGGGCGACGAGAACACAGCGCCCCTCGCACACCAGGGGCCCCGGAGCCGACCCGGCTGCTCTGGTGCTCACCGCGCGGCAGGGACCTCGCTGTGAGGACAGACCACGGCTGTGCCCCACGGTGACGCGCCAGGAAACCGGAGGGCGAGCGGGGCTGTGGAGGGCTCGGCTGCCGGCCTGGCGCTCTCGACAGACCTCGACTACCCTGAAATTCATTTTGTTACAAAAACCTTCAAACACACGGAAAAGGGTATCAGACCTAAAGGTTTTAGGCGAGCCCTGGGCGCGTGTTCCGGCCCTTCACACTGGGGCCGCCGCAGTGGGTCCGGTGGGACCGGCAGGCTGCCTCGGAGCGGGGCTTAGCCTTGACCTGCATTCCTGACAGCGGGTCCCCGGGATGTAGGCCCCACCCAGAAGCGGTAAAACGGGAGCCCCAGGGTGCCTGGCCGGCTCAGTCAGTGGAGCATGTGACTCTTCATCTCAGGGTCATGAGTTCCAGCCCCACTTTGGGCGTGGACTTTACTTAAAAATAAAAGTTAAAACAGAAACAAAACCACCCCCCTCTGGGCCCGTAGAGGGGCACAGTCAACCTGCCACCAGCTGGCTCCTGTGTGGAAGCAAGGGAGGGCCCCAGGCCCCGTAGTGTTCAACCGTCCAGCCCTAGTGCCATCAGACGGAAGGCAGGCCCGCAGACCGAGAGGCTGGAGGCTAGAGCAGCTGCGGGCTGGGAACCAAGGGCACACGCCGTCCCTGGAAGGTGGGGGAGGGGCGCTGACCCCGACGGGAATTGGGAGAGAAGCTTTTTCCTCGCAGGTGACAAGAGTCACACTGCTCATCTCCTTTCTCTTTTTGCCCTGGCTCCCAGGAAACTCAGGGCTCGGGTTCAATTAGGAAGAGGTATATTGTCCTGTAGCTTCGTGTGCTCTTCTCGCTGCAGCCCAGCTCCAGTTTGTTTTTTTTTTTTAAGATTTATTTACTTGAGGGCAAATGAGAGAGTGCACGAGTGGGGGAGGGGCAGGCAGGCTCGGCGGAGCAGGACTCTGAGCTCACGACCTGAGCTGAAGTCAGATGCTTCACTGACTGCACCACTCGGGCTCCCCGTCAGGGAACACTTCTAGAGTGTGCCACGGCCACGCGGGGCTTCACACGGACCTCAGTCTCCTGTGGGTACTGAACAAGCTACCACACACGTCACGGCCCACAACGGCACGCGTGTTACCCTGTGGTTCTGGAGTTCAGAAGTCCAAAATGGAGAGCTACGTCCCCCGGGCCCCAGGAAGACCCCCTGCCCCCCGCCTTCCAGGAGCGCCCCCCTCCCCAGCCCCTCCTCCGTCCTCAACATCAGCAGTGCGGGGTCTCCCCATCTCTGGGGTTCCCCCGCCTCCTTCTCGGGGGGACATGGTGAGGACACCAGGCCCCCAGGAACCCAGGGTCACCCCACTGTGGGGCCTCGACCAGGCCCCCTCTGCTGCAGGAGGTGACATGTTCTGGGTCAGGTCCCAGGACCAGGACGGGGACATCCTCGAGGCTATGGCTTCGCTGGTCGTCATGGTGATGTCATCTGGTCAGGCAGGAACAGAGGGTGCCCGCGGTGGGTCCACTGGCCGAGGCTCAGCCTCCTCTGGCGCCCTGCCTGGCTTGGCCCGCAGGACCAGGGGTCATGAGGGGGGTGGTGGAGGCCAACAGGGCCACAGGGCCCTTCACCCCAGCTGAACCCTGGCCTCACATCTGTCTAACTTCACGCTTGGCACCGGGGTCAGGTTCTGCCTGAATGCGGTTCTGCTGCTTTAGAAGCAGGATTCAGGTCCGAGGCCCCCGTGTAGGGCAGGCCGCGGCCGTGTTCCGCAGGCGCTCAGTAACATCGCCGGACGGAGGCAGCTGCTGTCCGCTCCACCAGGGAGTGACGACAGGCAGCCAGGCAGCGCCCCCAAGGCTTGGGAAAGGAACCGTGTTGGCTCTGGGCAGGCCGATGCACGAGCGCACTGCGGGGGGCTCAGTGTCCTCAGCCTGTCACGCAGGTGACCCCCCGCAGAGGACACAGGTCACAACGTGGCAGGTCTGGGACGCGCGCGGAGGACCTTGGCCAGAGCTCAGGGCCAGGGACGGCAGGCTCGGGGAGGGTCTCAGGCCGGGGACCGTCGGCTGCTGCAGCCCCTCATGGAGATCAGTGCCTCCCGGGCTGAGCCTCAGCAGCCACTAAACCAGGGAGGCCAGCGTGTCCTTGTGCTTCGTGGCCACAGAAGACACCCAGTGCACCTGGCAAGGCTGGCGGGCCGCTCCACAGGCCCCCCCTGCCCCTTGTACTGACACCCCCCGGGAGGGTGGAGGGCCAGACGAGCCCACCGTGCTCGCGTCTCCTCCAGGCCCAAGATGGAGGAGGGCTTGCACAGCAGACGCGTCTGCTCCCGTGGTCCTGCGGGGCGGACATCCCGGTCAAGGTGGTCAAGGCGCCCCAGGCCGCTCTCCCCAGGAAGCTCCAGGGAAGGCCCTTCCTGCTGCCCCAGCTCCCGGCACCCCTGCCGTGCTGCGGGGCTCACCGTCTCTGCTGTCGTGCTTTCTCCTCTGTGCCCCACCCAGACCCCCTGGGTTTAGGGCCACCCTGCTCCAGGATCACCTGGTCCCCATCTTTAACCAAATGACATCTGCAAAGTCCCGGTTTCCTCATGTGGTCCTGTTCTGAGATTCTCGGTGGGCTTGGATGGGTGGGACGCTGGTGCAGGTCCACGGCCCTGCTCGGCGCTGCATGGACACCGGCCGGACTCCACAAGGAAGGAGCCAGGCCGAGCTGACCTCGCGTGGGCCCAGCAGATGCCAGCTGGCGGCTCTGAGCCGCATCCTCCCAGACGGCCACCCGGCCGGCCCCACACGCCCCACTGCTCAGGGAAAGCTGCGGCGCAGGGGAGCTGAGCCCCTGGGGCCAGCCAAGCCGGAGAGCTTCCACACCGGGTGCTGGGCGCCCCCAGCTGCGGGGGAACCAGTGGCGCCAAGTGCGCCACATTTCTGAGGGCACCTCACCACTGCCAGGCTGCCGCCGGCCCCAGCCTCAAATCCCACCCTTCCCACACATCATCTCTGTGGCACCTGGTTTTCGGGGCCCACAGTGAGGGGCACTTGCCAGAGATGCTCCACCTTGTTCCCCCCCTCAAAAGGAAATCACACGAATCTCTTCCTTCGGTTCGGCCGGGTCACACTGCCAATGGCGGCCGTTCAGGGACCTCAGCGCCAATGATGGCGTGTGCACCTGACGGAGTGTCGCTCTGGCCAGGCACACGGGCAACGTGGCGGACCCTTGCTGAGATACCGACGCCCAGACAGAGCAAGCACGGGGGCCTCTGTCCAGGGCAGGAAGGTGCTGCGGTTTGGGAAAGTGGATCGGGCACTCCCGGAGGCTGCCCCACAACCCACGCCTGGGGCACGAGCGGCAAGCTGACAGGGATGTGGCCCCGCCCCAGGTGGGAGCCGCGGGGACACCGGCTGTTCTCAAGTACAGGCCGCAGCTCCACGGGGCCCGGAGCCTGGCCAGGGCTGCCAGCGCGAGGCAGGGGCCTCCTGGGCCCCAGGGCATCGAGGGGTGGCTGTGGCTCGAGGTCCCTACCTGAGGAAAGTCGCCCGTCTTTGGCAGGAAGCTAGGGGTGGTGGTGGAGGGTCCATAGCTGGTGTCGGCGCAGGGCTGGCTGGCGATGAAGGAGGTGGAGCTCATGAACTGGCTGCGGGAAGACAGGGAAGAGGGGCAGGCGTCGGGACTGAGGGAGCGCTCTGGCACCTGGGGAGCTCAGCTCGGCGGAGAGCCCACGTGCCCGCGACCAGGGCACAGTGCCCCGCAGAGACCCCGAGGCTCCCGCTCCGTGCTGCTGGGTCCTCTCCGCAGGCGGCTCCTGGGCCTGGCGTTGTCTGCGTCTGCTGCCCACTCACCCCCGGCCCAAGCTCCTACTCACTTTGCAAAACCCCTCCTGCCGCTGCCCTCTGCAGGAAAGTGCCCTCCCAGCTCCTTTGCCTTCAAAGTTCTCACCCCCCACACCCGGGTCAGCGTCCTCCTCCACCCCCGGCCAGAGGGCACCCACAGAGCTCTTCTCCCTTCTTCCTGACGGGCTCTTCCTGAGACAGGCCACAGCTGGTCAGTCTCAGGGGCCTCCATGTGGCCAGAGCCTGGCCCACGACCCCCTCCACAGGATGCTGAAGCCCTTCGCTGGCCGTGAGCTCTATTCTTGTTTAACCAGTGACCACAGAACCTAGAAAGCCCTCGAGAGTATGGTGGCCACGGAGCGGGGCGTGCTGGAGCGTGTCGGGCCCTGGAGGCCACAGGAACTTACTGGCTTTCGCTGGAGAAGGCTGGGTACGGCGTGGGCGAGAAGGGACTCCACCAGGAGCAGTGCAGCATGGTGTTCTGAAACAGAGCGAGTGTCAGGAGCGGCCCTGCTACCCCTGTCCGGGCAGCTTCACCCAAGGGTCCTCCATCTGGGTCACCCGGGAGCGGCTGCACAGCTCCATGCGTCCATCTGCCCGTCCACACGGGAAACCTCCCAGTGCAGCACAGCAAAGACGAAGGAACCTCTCGGGGCGTGTGAGGGGCTCTGAAGGCGGGGCTGGGACTGGGGCATGAGAGCACGAGGCCCAAGGGATGTCCGTGTGGCAGAGGGCTCGTCAGGGGGCTCCCACCAGCCCCTCCCAGGGGCCTGGCCTTCTCAGAGCTCCCTCAGGCCAAGCCTGTGTGGCCCAAGGCTGCAGCACAGGTGGGGGTTCTGGGGAGCCTGCTTTGAGAAGCATTCAGTGGATGGCTGGAAGGAGAGCCTGAGGTCCGCGGGGGCTTGGGGGGACCCTGCACTGGGGTTTGACAGGACCAGCTTCGGGGAGCAGGATGGTGGACACTCATGGCCCCCGGACGACACAGGTGGCTTGTCCCACCCTGACACACAGGCCTGCGCACAGCATGGCCTGTGTGGGATCACGTCAGGGCAGTCCCTGCACGCCGCTGGGGAGAGGCCTAATGGCTACAGTCGCTGTCCCCACGGGGACGGGGGACCAGCGGGCGTCCTGCGCTCAGTAAGGCCGCCGGAAGCAATCCCCAGCCACCACTTCCTGCTGTCTGCAGGGCTCCGCACATGAGCTGGCCTGGAACCAGCCCAGATGGCGGGGAGACGAGGAGCCTTCCCGGGCGCCTGTGTCTGGAGGAAGGAGCTGGCCCTGACTTCCCACCAGGGCACGCCCCCCACCCCGACCCCGCAGGGAGAACCAGGACGCAGGAAGGAGAGAGACACTCTGTCAAGGGGTCCCGCCTGCTGTTCCAGAGTCTGCACAGGCTGCGAAATAACCCTATCGACATGGAGCGGGACAAACAGCACAGGACCCTCCCCAGCATGAAGGCTGGTGGGATGAACACTTAGGAGAAACTGCAGAAGCCTCTGGAAGGCTCCCCTCCAGGAGAGCAGGCTGAGGTCACCCCAGGGCCCTGGTCTAGGGCCACTTCTCTCCAGCCCCGTTCAAGGAGAAGAATCCAGGGGCGCCCAGCTGGCTCAGTCAGTGGAGCCTATGAATCTTGGTCTGGGGGTTGTATGTTCGAGCCCCACACTGGGTATGGAGATTACTTTAAAAAAAAAAAAAGAAAGAAAGAAAGGAGAGAACTCCAACTCCAGAGAGGGATGTAAACTTCCCAGGGCCACAGGCACTCCCAGAACACTCTGTGAACTAGCACGAACTGTCCTGAGTGCACACAAGGCACCACGGGCCACTCGGGACCCATAGCAGGCAGAGCCAGCCTTGAGGGGGCCTCCCCACCTTTCCTGCTGTGCCCAGACCCCCAGGTCTCCTCGGATTGAGGCATTCTCCAGGAAGCCAGGTGCTGGCCCCAGCGCAGGGCTCTGCGAGGCTGCCAATCAGGGCCGCCCGAGTCCTCCCCCAAGGGCGCACCACACAGCCAATCAGAGCCTTCCTTGGGGTTTTCCCGGGGGGGGCCAGAGGCGTACCTCTGCCTTTCCAGGGTAGGCCCCTGGGACACGATCTTGAGGTGGGCGCCTGACCCCCACCAGCCAATCCGAGCCTGCCTGGGGAGGTTCCAGGCTTTCCTCCCCTGGGGAGCCACATGCCCTGGGACATTAATCCAGAGCTCCCTGGGCCACGTGTGAGCTGATGTAGGAAGGTGACACTTTTCCTTGGGCAGCAGATGAAATACAGCTGTCAGATAAAATACAAGGTATCTAGCGAAACTGAAATTTCTGACAAACAGTAAACAATTACAGTGTAAATACTAAGCGGGAAAGACACTAAAATATCGCTTGTGTTTACGTGAAACTTAAGTTGCATTAAATGTCTCTATTTTTATTGCTAAATCAGGCCACCGTTAGTGACAGTGACAGTCCAGGGGGTCGGTCCCCTCCTGAGCTTGGTTCAGCCCAGCTGGGACAGAGGGGCGGGGAGGAGTCTGACCACACACACATCCGGGGTCAGCACGAGCTGGATCGGTGTGGCCTGCTGGGGGCGGGGTGCCCTCCTGGTTGGAGTCCTGCGGGGACAGGTTCAGCGTACACCCTGGGACGGGTGGCCCAGCCTCAGAAGCACCATGGAGAGCGCTCTGCCGAGTTCTGACAGCCGAGGGGCTCCTGGCCAAAGTGGGCTTGGCTCACACAGGCATCTCCCTTGCATCGGGTGCACGTTGCGGCCCCAGGTGCCCCTCCACGCCACCATCTGGGAGTGCTGGCATCCTAGCCACCGCCCTGGGCCACCATAAAGGTGGCAGGATAGGTGCATGGTCCTGTGGAGCTGCCCCAAGCTCTGCGACCCCACCCAGTGCTCCCTCTGACCCAGGAATCTGATTCAGAAGGACACCCCCGGCCTAATCCACTATGGGGGGGGGGCCATACTGGTGCTATTTACAGCAGCAGAAAACTGGAATCACCCCAAAAGCCCAACAATAGGGAAATAATTCAGCAAACCATGGGATGCTGACAAGAGGGAAACATTATAGGAACGACAAGAGCACTCTCTGAGCCTACATAATGGGGTGAGAGCGAGCCCTGGGAACGCACACGTCTACCACCGCAGGCCAGGTGGCACGTGGGGAACAGGAAGGCATCGGCCACGACAACGTGGCCGGAAGTCCAGAGGGAGGCGGGGGGGTTAGGGAGGGTCAGAGGATGTGTGGCCACGGCTCCCACAGGAAGGGCAGAGAGAGGAGGCACGCCGCGGGGTCTGGGACCCTGGCCAGAGGCACTGGATGCCAGCCACGGCCTGGGATTGGCGTCTTCAGCGGGAACTCATTTTTGCCCTCCCCAGGCGGTTGTGGCCCCTGCTAGTAGTTCGGATTCTGTGCCCGTGATGTCAGGTGACAACACGGGCACACCTGGACACAGGGTGAATTCTGGGCCCACAACTGCTTTCCAACACCCTGATTACGGACCCAGGATGCCTCCTGATGGCTCTGGGCACTTCACCCTGAGCTGTGCCTGACCCTAGTGGCCCACTTCCCAGCTCCTCTGAAAACCAAGCGTGATTCTCATGATTCTTGCTCTCTCCTGCCACCTGGTCGCCTCCCAGTCCAAAGCCAGCAGGATGGAGGGGACGGAAGGCCCCGTGGCAGCCGCAGCCATGTGTCCCTTGCTGCTGTGCCTTGGCACCCTTCTTCCTGCCCTCCAGGCAGCTCTAAGTCTCCCTGTTAAGAAACAGTCTGCTTTTCTACATCAGAAAGAAGCCTGGTGGGATCCCTGGGTGGCGCAGCGGTTTGGCGCCTGCCTTTGGCCCAGGGCGCGATCCTGGAGACCCGGGATCGAATCCCACATCGGGCTCCCGGTGCATGGAGCCTGCTTCTCCCTCTGCCTGTGTCTCTGCCAATCTCTCTCTCTGTGTGACTATCATAAGTAAATAAAAATTAAAAAAAAAAAAAGAAAGAAAGAACCCTGGTTTTGCCCCAGAAGAGGGGGCTCCAGGCCTGACTGGAGCAGAATTCTGGATCCTTCATACATTCCACCATATGAGGAGGCCAGGCTGGACCCTACGTGGCTTTGTTACGAGTGTTATGATACTTCATCACACTCGTCAGGACTTAGGAGCAACTGAGGTGCCGTTCAGTTGTGGATGGACAGACCGCTCCACCCAGACAAGGGAGTGTCATTCAGTCCGGAAAAGAACCGAGCCGCGGAGCCAGACACAGGGAAGCCACACACCCGTGGCTCCAGGTCTAGGACCTTCTGGAAAAGGCGGAGCCATGGAGGAGGCAGTAACAGGGCCTGTGGTGCCCGGGGTGGGGACGGTGCTTCGGTGGAGCAGGGGGTCTGTAAGGCCGGGGCCTCCTCTGGGCCACGCAGGGACGGTGGCTCGGTGTCCGTGACATTCGTGTGAACCCACAGGGCGTGCAGCAGTGACGGTGAGCCCTGGTCACCTGCAGGCTGTGACCGATAATGCCCTGATGCTGGTCGTCAGTTGTTAAGAACTTAGCATGAATGTTGATGCAAAATGTTAACAATGGGGAAAGGAGGGTGTGTAGAAACTTTGTGTTTTATTTTCCTGTAATCCTAACACTGTTTAAGATGTAAACTTTGGGGCCCCCCGGTGGCTCAGTCAGTTAAATATCTGACTTTTGATTTCCGCTCAGGTCATGATCTCAGGGTCCTGGGATCGAGTTCTGCCTCGGCCCCGCACTCAGCAGGGAGCCTGCTGGAGACTCTCCCTTCCTCCCCCTCTGGCCCTCCCCCTCCTCCTCTCTCTCAAATAAATAAATAAATAAATAAATAAATAAATAAGTCTGTTAAACTGAAAATAAAAAAAAACTTGAGCGTCCCCCTGAGCACCAGTCGTGGCCTTGGCAAAACAAACCTGGTGGCTCAAGTTTGAGAAACTTGGCGGCAGCTGAGGCCAGGGGTCCTCCTCTCTCCAATGCTGGGGGCTGGGACATCCCCTCGAGGCCCCAGAAGGGGAGGCTGCAGCTGCACCCCCAGGGCGGCGCCCACCCTGGACTGACCTTGGGGTGGCCAGCACTCACCTGGACACTGGACCCGCACAGCGGGGTCTGCAGGGGGGGTGGGCTGTAGAGGATACTGCCCGCTGGTGGGGGCTCATGCTGAGGAAAGTCCCCGTCCATGGCGGGCCCCACTGCCAGCATCAGGTGGCTCCACGACCCAGGCCGTGGGGGCGTCTATCTGGGCTTCTTGCTCCTCGGTGGCGGCATCATGACCTGAGGAGACACGGCACACTGCCGAGGTCACCCTGTGAGCCCCTACGGGCGTGTGCACACCCCGCAGGGACAAGGGAGAGGGGGTGGGCTCAGGGCAGCGGGCCCGCGTCCAGGAGGGAGGGTGTGAGCCGAGGCTGCCCGAACACTGCAGGGTGGCCAGGGCGCCTCTGGGTTCCCAGCCCCCTCCCAGGGGCTGTGCTGGGGCAGGGCGGGGGCCTCTATCTCAAGTCCAGCCTGAACACGCTTGAGCAGCCGCTCGGCTGCCAGGACAGGACCTGGGCTCGGCCCCCACCGCCACCTGGTGGCCCCTCCTGGGGACACTGGGCCTGGACTCCTGACCACAGGGAGCAGTACCTGGGGCAGCACGGAGACAGGCTCCGGGGACGGCCCCCAGGATGGTGGCAGGCCTTCCAGAGCGGCTGGGCCACCCCACCCCTGCTGTTCACACGGCCATGTCAGGCTGCCCGGCCCACCCAGTAACAAATAACTCGGGCCCTGGGGGCCGCTCCCGCCACCCACGGAGAGAGCCACGGGCCCTGGTGTGAGCCCGGAGCCTCAGCGGCTCCCACGGGCCTGCCTCTGTGACCCAGTCTCAGGCTGGGAGGCAAAGTCCAATCCTGTCCCTCTGCAGCCAGGCTAGGCTTGCAGGGGGCCCCAGGGGAGCGAGGGCCAAGCTGAGGCAGGAAGGGGTAAGGACACACAGCGGCCCCGCCGAGAAGCCTCTGGTTCTCCAAAGCAGGCCAGGAAGGTGCCGCGGGGCTGACAGCAGATGCACAGGATTTGCCCCCCGGGTCCATCTGCCCCAGGCCTGCGCCCTGGGCTCCCCTGGGCCCCACCCACCGCTGCTGGGAGCCCAGACCCAAGGGCGGCCGGTGCGCCTCCTCGGGCAGGCAGTGGCTGAGGACATTAATCACACAGGGGGCAGGAAGGGGAGGCAGCTGCCACTCCCGGCCAAGCCCTGGATGAAGAAATCCTCGGGACTTCCAGTAATCACTGTCCGCCGCGGCAGCTTATGCAATCCCTCAGGGGGCGGGGAGGGGCTGCCTCTACCCCAGCTCCGGCCAGAAAAGGGGCCTCCGGGCCTGAGCTCCGGGGACCGAGGCGTCTGGGCTCTCGAGCCTTGGCGCTGTCCCGCTGGGCTCCAGGCCTGCACCGCTCCCGCCTGCTGCCAGGACCCCACTTCCACAGCGCCCGTGGGCCTGGCCTGCTCCGGCCTGCGCCTGGGCTCCTGTGGGCCGGGGCCTGGGACAGACTGAGCAGCCCGGGGTGGAAAGTCCTCGGGTCTCCCTTGACAAACACAGCGAATGGTGATTCAGGGTCTCGGCAGTTCCTTTGAAAGATTCTGGGGTCATGCAGACAGGGTCAGAACCCAGCTCAGCCTTCCAACAACCGGATTATTGTCTGACAACTAAGGGCACCGCAGCTGCGCTGAGCCCCAGGATTGCTCAGCAGGAGAACTGGGTTCTTCGGAGGTCCACGGGCAAGGCTGGTCAGGCACTCAGCAGGGACCAAGGCCTCTGCAATCTGGGCCTTGCCACTTAAGTGACCACTGCCTTCACTGAGGCCCCAGAACTCTCCTGGATTTGGGGGATTTCCCAAGGGGGCTCTGTTCCCAGCACCCGGGACAAGAGTCAGGCAGGAATGACCTTTACTCAACAGAGAAAGCTCACATAGCTGACCACAGGTGCTGGCTGCCTTGCCCTTGTCCCTGGGGTTGGATCACCAGCCCCTTCTCTGCGGCAGGTATCCTCCCCGCCCCAGACAGCCTGGTAAACCCGGCCCATGCCCCGCCCACCACAGCTTCCCTCTCTTGGCAGCCACGTCCTGGAGCCAAGCTGAACCCCTTCCCACAAACACCGTGCTTCCAGGCTCTGCAGCCACCGAGCCCTGGGCTGCCCCCTTAGAAAGCACCACCCAGAGGCCAGAGGCCAAGGAGCATGGGGGTCTACTACGGGCAGCTTCCCAGGAACCCCAGGAGAAATGAAAACATCTGTCCACACGAAACCTGTATGCACATGTTCACAGCAGCATGAGTCACAAGAGCCAGAGAATGGAAGGACCTGATGTCCATCAATAGGTGAAAGGAGGGCAGCCCGGGTGGCTCAGCCGTTTAGCGCCACCTTTGGCCCAGGGCATGATCCTGGGGTCCCGGGATCGAGTCCCGCATCGGGCTCCCTGCATGGAGCCTGCCTCTCCCTCTGCCTGGGTCTCTGCCTCTCCCTCTCCCTGTGCCTCTCATGAATAAATAAATAAAATCTTTAAATACAACATGGTCTATCCACGCACGGGCACGAACAGGAGGTGCCCACGTGCCACCCGGGGACAGATCCTGAGCCCCCGACGCTCAGGGAGGGAACCAGACACAGGAGGCCCCACAGGGTGTGAGTACACATGCGTGACATGTGCAGGACAGGCTCGCCCGCAGATAGGGAGGGGGCTGCGGGGGCTGGAGGGGTGACGGCTGGGGGGGTGGGGTTGTTGTTGGGGTTGATGGAATATTCCAGAACTAGATAGTGGTGATGTCTGTATAACATTAGGAATATAGGAGGGGCACCTGGGGGGCTCAGTGGTTGAGCATCTGCCTTCAGCTCAGGGTGTGACCCTGGAGTCCTGGGATCTAGTCCCCCATCGGGCTCCCTGCGGGGAGCATGCTTCTCCCTCTGCCTGTGTCTCTGCCTCTCTCTGTGTCTTTCAGGAATAAAAAAAGTCTTTTTAAAAAATTAGGAATACAGGAGAAACACTGAATTGTGAATTGTACAGTTTGAAAGAGCGAATTTTACGTTGCATTAATTTCACCCCATGCTCCCCACCACCCCATGCCCTCGGAGGCCACCCTACAGTCCCCCGTTCCTCCAACACCCAGGTCCAATGTCACTCTCGCCACCACAGAGCCTCCACAGCCTCAAGCTTCCTGTTCCCCAACCCCCCAAGTCACTGGGGCAGCCCCCAAACACAGCCCTCCTTCCATCTACCCTCAGGACTCCCTGTCCCAGCCCCAAACCTTCTGGCCTCGGCTGACCCCCCTCACCTCCCACTCCGTGGAGCTACCCGGGAGCCCTGCTCCTGAGCCCCCAAACATGAATGTCACTGGGCAATCCAGCCGCCTTGGGTCCAAGCCCAGTGGGTGCCAGGTGGGGTCTCGGGGCACAGAGGGACGTAACAAGACCGCGCCCGGCTGGGTCAGAGCTCAGCACCCATGCAGTGGGCCCAGTGTGTATTTTTAGAACATCCCATGACAGGTGAAGCGTGGGTGCTCACAGGCCTGCGCTTCACAATCGTGGTTTACGTTCACAGAATTTCCTTCCGAGATCAGGTTTTCAAATGAGTCATTGTAAAAGAAAAAGACCAAGGAATCAGCGGCCCAGACAAGACAACTGGGCAGTGCAACGTGGGCAGAGGCCGAGGCCTGGGAGAGCCTGACCCGCAGCCTGACCCCCTGGCCCCCAGCCTCTCCGCTGACCCCCTCAGCCCTGTCACCCCAGCTCTGCTGGCTCAGCCCCCCAGACTCTGAGCAGACCGTCCCGACCCCGCCTGGGGGTGCCCAGACCCCGCTGGCCGCCTGGACTGCCCGCCCACCGCGGCTCGTTGCCCCATCTGCACCCCGCCAGGTGGGGATGAGGCCGCCCCTGGGACTGCGTCTCGGGGCACAGGGCCTTGCTGGCCCCCCACTGGGCACACCATGGCAGCCTCTCTGGCCACCTTTCCACTCAGCTCTGAGTGAAGGTCCTGGGATCCCAGGATGCGGCGGGGGCGGGGGAGGTGGGGGGGGGCAGAGGCCCTGGTAAAATAGGAGGACTGATCTTGGGGCGGCACCCTGGCCAAGCAGGACCATCTGGGGAGGGTCTGCGCAGAGCCGCGGGCGGGGAGCCACCAGTCAGAGCGGCCGGGGCCGTCCCCAGCGCGGTGCCCAGCCAACATGGGCCCTGCCGAGGCCAGCGGCGGGAGAGGCCAGCGGCCCTGACACGGCTCGGTGTGGGGTGAGACCCAGCGGTCGGTCCTGGGGGGCACCAGTCCCGAGCTGAGGTCCTAGCTGGGCTCTGGGCGTGCCTCGGCTCACCCAGGCCTCCGACGGGGCACCCGCCCCAGACAGCTCCTCCAGGGGGTGCTGGACCTGAAGGCTGAAAGCAAGGGGAGGCAGGAGCTAGGGTCGGGAGGGAGGATGGTGTGGCGTGCTCCTTGCTCCCTCACCGACGGACTACTGAGGCCAGAGCGGCGGGCAAAGCGGCGAAGGGGGGCCGGGGGCCAGGCAGGGGACTGAACCCGGCTGGCGGGTGACAAGGGTGGCCTTCGAGGAGCGCGGGCCCAGTGGAGGGCGAGCAATGGGGCAGCAGAGCTGTGCGCGGCGGATGGTCTGTAAGTTCACGTCCCCTGGGAACCTGCGAACAGGCCCTCACCCGGACACGGGGTCCCTGCAGTCGTAGCGGGCAGGGCGGGCCTGGTGCCGGGACAGACAGAGAGCAGGTGCCCCGTGCCTCTGAGGCAGGGGAGCGACGTGGCCTCGGGCCCCCCGGGCCCCCAGGAAGGACCCTCCCCGGGAGCCTCGGGAGGCAGCGCGGCCCGGCCACACCTCCACTTCAGGCTTCTGGGCTCCGGGCCCAGGAGACACTAAAGTTCTGTGGCTTAAGGGGCCAAGCGTGAGGCCAGTTAAGGCCACCCCCCAACGTTAGGACTGGAAGGGGAAGCAAACCCCAGCTGGAGCCCCCCCCCCAGTCCAAATCCCTGTGACCCCTGGAGGCCGGGAGCTCTGCTGAGGGGAGCTCCAGGGAGGCTGGCACCAAGCATGTGACCTCACATTTCTAGAGTTCCCAGGAGGCATCCGAACACAGCAGCTCTGGGATGTCAAAGATGGGCAGGGGCCTAGGCCCCGTGCACAGGCCAGGGCGGGCAGGAAGGGGAGCCCCCCCGCCCAGGCCCACCCAGAGTCCCCACTGGAGAGCACAGCATCCAAGGGCTGAACTTCCGGTTCTGTTACCAAGCAGTGAAGGTGACCTGTATAGGAC